AGATTTTTAAATCATTTGAAATCAAGGTCTCGATTTTGCCAACACACTTTGTAACCCAACTTTTATAACTCAACATTGTACAAATAGTTTTATTGTTTTGGTATTAATGTCGAGTTTGTCTTGGAATTTTCACTTCCTTCCTGTGTTTTGGAGCGGATTTATTTTTCCTGAATATTCGAAATTTTTTGTATTTCATTTGACAGTTACTTTCCATGTTATGTAACCGTCTCGTGTTGTCCTGGATTTGCGGTTCTTTTTAACTCAAAGTTATTGCTGAATTCTCGCTACTCTGTTCTCTCTCTTTGCGCGCGCATGTGCATCATAACTGAGTTTTTGTAGAATTACCTTAAGGAACTTTGTTTTTTCCGGATCTATAACGCAATAACAATAGACGACTTGTGTTTCTTATTTCAAATGTGTGTTTAAAATTAAATCTTGACAAGTTGAAAATTTGATGAAGTTTTATCAAACAAGCTGCGAATAATACTTACTCGCGTCCAAGGGATGACAACAGTTGGAACCAAAGAAGATAACCACCAAAGTGCCGAAATCACTCAAAGTGATATAAAATCACATGAATCAATCAACTGCATTGCCAAGGATGAGTTGTTGATTTCTATAGAGAACCGTGGTTACGACACAAGTAAGAAAACCCCAATAGATAGGGTTCCAATACTGCTGCGTATGAATGAATCATTCAGAAATTGTTTTGATCCACTCGTAGTTTCGATAGGCCCTTATCATTTTGGAAAGCCACATCTCAAAGAATTCGAGCAGCTAAAATTTCCAATCGCGCAGAAATTCTGTCGTACCCATGGTGATCAATTATCCATCGAACAGTTATACGATGAGGTGAAAAAGGTGGGTGCCATTAAATGCTATGCGGAAGTCTCGAATGAATACTATGAAGATGAAATGTTCAACCGGATAATGTTTCGTGATGCTTTGTTTGTGCTTCGTGTTATGTTCATGTTCAGTCCACATGAGGACCATGAGGTACAAAAAGCAGTAGATGAAGACCATGAGGTACAAAAAGCAGCAGATGAACGACTGGCTAAGAGTTACTACTTTGTGTTGAGGGACTTGTTCTTGCTAGAGAATCAAATTCCTTTAGTAGTACTAAAAGTTTTGATGGAACTCATGTTCAAAGATCAAGGGGAAAAGACAGTACTACTAGTAGATGGTTTCATTGAGAAAATCTATCCGCTGCTCACCATGCAATCTCTTGAAAAAGTGACAGGATGCTGCTCTAAAAGTGCGCCAAAAATGGAGGCTGAAAGCCAGGTTCACCTTCTACAACTTGTACGGGAAAAGCTCATCCCGCCAATAATTACACATAAAAGAAAAGACATAACTGCATTTATCGGAGAATCAAAAGGCATGCAATCGTATCGTTCAGTAACTGATCTCAAATCAGCAGGAATTTATTTCAAACCAAATGAAACTGGAAATCTTACTGATGTAAAGTTCAAATCTCGCCTTGTTTCTGGTGTTATGACACTTCCTTCAATCAAGGTTGATCATTTTACAAGACCTTTGCTATTAAACTTGGTGGCTTATGAAATGTGTCCGCATGGCCCTCATGATTTGCTCATTACGTCATACATGTGTCTAATGGATTCACTCATTGATCATGCTGATGATGTTAAAGAGCTCAAGCAGAAAAGAATTCTTATCAACAAATTAGGCAGTGACGAAAAATTGGCAAAATTCTTTAACGGGATGGGTTATGATTTGGTACCTGATCCTTTAGCGTATTTTGATGTTAAGTCGGAGATTGATGCACATTGCAAGCTAAAAAGACATGTCTGGATGGCTGAATGGACACACAAGTATTTTAGCAGTCCTTGGACTCTCTTGGCTTTTCTAGGTGCAATTTTGGCCCTCGTCCTTACTGTGGCACAAACATTTCTTGCTGCTTATCTGCTCTAAACCTCAGAAGACAAGACTTCCTAAATCAACGATCTCGTACAAGCTCTTCAGCTGCAAAAGTTTGTTCTTTTCATGTGTGTTTCCATTGTTTCGGTTTTGTTGTGTGTTCTCAAGTCTATGCCGGTGCAATAATTGTATTTGTTCCATTGTTTTGAACTGGTCACTGGTTTTTCCAGTTGAACCAACTATCCGGATTCAACTCTTATGATATTACAAAATGCTAAATGAATGTCGATTGTGAAAAATAAAACTTATCTATCAAATATAATAACGTGGACTTGCACCTTCCATGGCAAGATGCAATTCTTTCTGGATCCAAAGTGACACTGAACTCCAATAACAAGAACAAGAAGCTACAGTTAGTTTAATTTAAAAAGCTAAGGCACACTATTGAAGTTATCGATAAGCACATAACTGTTTGAAATATCCAAGTTGTTGATTCACACATTGTGTAGGATCCACGACTTATAATTACAAAATGATTTACCAAACATACATGATATGAGATGCTATAGCTTCTTTGAACATCTCGGTTCCTATGCAGTAAAAATTTTTACATCTTTTATCATTCCATGTTTTAACATCTTGATATTGTTTCAAAGTCATATCAAAATACTTATATTTATCCCACATAGAATAGTTTTCTTTATAAATACATCTTCTAAATAAATTTTACTACTCGTACAAATGGACGGATACAATACTTGTATATGTAGTTTGCGATAATCCTATAAGCTATGGCTTGTGCTCGTGCAGTGCATGCAAAAATCCGAATGGTTCATATTTAGTGTTGAAGTAGCATTTTGACGGAACGTAGACTTGGAAGGGTTCCAAGAGCGAACAAATGATACTCAATCATCAATCAACCCCTAAGAAAAATAAATCCCTTTAACCACCTTTATGCTATGTATTTCATTGTTCAGAAAATGATTCGTGGAGAAAAGAAATATTTGGACTTTAATGATTCAATTCAGTAGGGAGTGAAAGTAAATGCATATCTTATATGGAATGTTCAAAAGGTAATGGACGAGCATGGGCAGACGCAGGTGGTGGCCTGGGCCTTGGGGGGTCACGTGACCCCCCAACTCTGCTCTTTTTTTTCTTTTCATTAAATTTTCTATGTTTTCGTTTCAATTTTCAAAGTCATTATAGAATGTAAAACGAAATCGAAATATTACATTCTTAATACCATTTTGAAGTGCTCACGGTCTAGTTTTCTACGTCATTAATAGCATACGAAACGATCAATTGTAACAAATGTTACGACTTGTCAAAGTAGGCCGTTCAAAATTAGTATTTCGAAAATTTCGATAATATGTTAATTTTAAAAATTCCAAATGATCGTACGCTAATCGAATTTACAAATTGCTTATGTCATCTTAAATCTTATTTCGAAAACTACATTATAAGCATATCGAATAGGTCCAAACAGATATCGAAAATAGTTAAAGATGCACTCCACGTGAGTCTTAAAGAAATGCGTCGCGTTTTCTTTAAAAATATTCAATTATTTCATTAACATTTATTATTTTTGCGATACAAATTTCTCAATGTAATTTTCATCATTTTATTAGAAAATTTTATATGGAATATGACATCAAAAAATTTTGAAATTTGACATCCGAAAAANAAGTCGCATAACTCGCATTTTCTTTAAAAAAATTCAATTATTTCATTAACATTTATTATTTTTGCGATACAAATTTCTCAATGTAATTTTCATCATTTTATTAGGAAATTTTATATGGAATATGATATAAAAATTTTTCGAAATTTTACATATGAAAAAGTCATATATCATGTAAATTTTCGGATGCAAATTACATGGGGTATGATTTTTTTGAACGTAAATTTTTTATTATAAAATTTCTCCCAATTTTTTAGTAAGTTCGATTATGCCTCCTAACTTTAAACTTCTGTGTCCACCCCTGTGTACGAGGAAGGGTAGCGTAGATAGGAAAGTTAACTTGCATATGTCAAAAAATAAAATCACAAAACCATCTAGTCATAATCGGGCGAAATTTATAGAAAAACCATTTATTTAAAAAAGAAAAACTTTATTTAAATATTACAAGAAAAAAACTAACATCATTACTCACGGGAGGCAGAATAATAATCAAATGAATTTAAGAAAATAAAAAAGAATAAATTGAAACTTCAAATGAAAAATAATATTTTCATTTCTTAAAACGAGGAGGAGAATACTTACCGGAGAGTCGGACTGTCGGAGACAGAATAATAATCTTCAAACTTCATGACCGAGCGAATTTTCATTTTTTTTCTATGGAAATTCCATAAAATGAACATGAATACTTTTAATGGTTTTATGTTAAAAAAAAAAAAAGGGACAATTATAGAGTGAAATTTGGGTTATATAAAATGGAATATAGGGTTCCGTTGAGATAATAGGAAGATGACAGAGAGACGAAAGAGAAAGAGGGAGAGGGCTATGGTTTGCTGGGTTGGGCAAGTCATGATTATGAGGCCCAATAAAGTTTCACTAAGAGACGGCGTGGCCCAATAGATATTTACACAAGTGACAAACGAACAATATTAGCACTTTTCAGATTTTTTTTAATACTTGTATAGTGCTACTTTTCATAATGAAGATAATAAGTTTGGATACTATTTGCATTTATACGTATACGTAGATGAACAAAATTATATTTATATGTGCTATCCTTTGAAGTGAATGTCTTGATTCAATGCCTATTTTTGACCTCAATAAAGAGCATTCTTGCATCTTGTACAATATTTTTTACTCGCATTACAAAGTTTTTATTTCTATTGAAGGAGAAATAATTTGACTTTCTAGTGGTTGTCAATTCAAATAGCACTATTCCCAAGGCTATTGACTTTACTTAAATCATCTTTTAATTTCTTGTTGTCTAGAGTAGGGCTGTAAGTAAAAATCACCAAACCGGAAAATCAAACCGAAATCGCGATTTCGAAACCGGCGGTTTGGTGCCACGTGGACCCGTCAACGAAATGACTTTGAACCAAACCAAACCGGTCAAAAACGGTTTGGTTTAGGTTTGAGAATTTTAATTATGGTTTGAAACCAAACCGAACCGGCAAAAAATATATAAAATAAAAAAAT